AGCTCGGCGTCAACACGCTCCCAACCTCCTCGTGACTTCCCGAGCCTGAAGGCACAGCCCGGGTATAGGCAGTATCGGCATAGGGAGCCCCTGCCACTTCTTGAACTGAAGGGGGCACCTCGGGCTCCCCAAGAGGCTCCATTCTTGATGCCTCGGGCTCCACAACTTGGGAGGGATCGGCACGGACCCACTTAGCAGCTCGCTTCCTTCTCTTCATGCCAGCGAACAAGTTCGCACCTCGAGTCTTCTCTGCCTCCATAACACCTGCAAAAAGGAGCTCGGCGTCAGAAGATGGGAATAAAAGCAAAAGCAAGTATCTTCGTCTGAGCAAGAAACCTACCCGAACTCAGACCGGCTTGAATAAGCTTGTCCTCCGTCAGGTAGACTTCACATTTGAGCCCTTGCCGGGCCCGTACACGGAGGCGGCGCACCTGACTGATTAGGGGCCCGACACATGACAGCCGCCCCCCAACGGCCACCTGCCACCGCCATCTCAGACGTGGCAGGGACGGCCCTAACAAGGAACAGTGGAGGTTATGACACCCGAACTAGCAGCTGGCAGTGGAGGTTCTGACACCCGAAATGACCCCCAATCTGGCAGAGGAAGTGACCCGATCTGGCAGCGGCAATGATACCCGAAYTGACAAGGGTTCGGGAGTAAGTATACAAGGTGACTATAAAGGTCCCCATCTCAGGGGGAAGAAGGTATGTGATTCTTGCGCTTTCTGGTCTTAGAATTTCTCACTTCCCTTGCCTTCTGAAGAGCACTAACTTGAGATTCGGAGTGTTCCAACTGGGTTCCTCCCCGAAAGTCTCCATTTTCTTTCTTGTTTTAGGCACCTCCAATCTCGTCAGAAGCGAGGTAACCGGCAGCTAAGACTGACCGGATTGCGCACCATCAGATAATTAGATTTATCCTTCAGATCCTTCTGTTTGCTACCTCTAGTGGCTGGTCCTCTCTCTCTCTCCCCAACTCCTATTCAGATACACACCACCAGGTCTTGCTACCATTTACTTTATTGTTCATTTATTTTTAGCTGCTCCTTTTGATTTCTATAGTTGTTTACTTTTATTGTTTACATTTATTTATTGAACTATAGAACCACTAACCAGATAGCGACCTTCATATTTATTTAATCGTAAAATATCATTTTGATTAACTGGTGAAACAAATTGACTAAGCCTCCATTTTGCTGCATCTTGATCTTTATTGTCAAGAAGCCTTAGCTTCAATTTTAAGGGGAAGGATTTTGAGCTTGACTAATTCACAAGCAAAGAATTCATATTTGAATTCAAAGATTTTGTAAGTTCTATCAGATTCACACCCCTCTTGGGTAAGACCATTAGTCCCAACATATCCGTCAATAGTGAGTTGATTTTGGTGTTAAGTGTATTTTATTATGGGAGCTTCACTTTTAGGTGATACCTTTGGTGGAGGAAGATGATCTTCGTGTTGATGATTTATAGACTTCTGATGCCATTTGTATAGGCCTCATGATTGATTTACTCCTAGTGCTTAGTTTACCTTTCACCTAAGCAATTTACTTAGACCTTGGTGTTTCTTGTCCTTTTTATCTTTTTCTGATGTTTTGTTTTGTAATCTAAGCTTGAACGAATGAATTTTGCTTTTGGATAAATTACGAAGATGCCCTTGTACCATTGGGTCAGTGACAAATATCTCTATGAAGTTTCATTTGTTACAAAGACCCCCCTTGAACTTTCACTTGCGATAAATACCCCTGACCATTAATTTAGATRATAGAATACATTAAATTACCAAAATGCCCACCTGAACTTCCTTATTTTATTTTACTTGCCCTTTTCTCTTAAGCCTTAATTGACAAAAAATACCACCATTTTCCGAAACGGAACTAGCTAAAATAACAAGAATCATTGCATAGGCATAAWTTTTTTTTTTTTAATTTTTGATTCATTTGACTAATATGAATGCTTTCTTCATCTTAACATATAAAATTTATCCATTCCTTTTCCCAATAAATCAAGAAAAACTAAATGAAACCATAAGTTTATATCTATTAGAAAGAAACTTCTACGATTTCAGTTGAGTATTAAATCTAGCCAAAAATATACAATGATCTATTGGAGCAACCAAGAAGATTTCAATATTATATTTAAAAAACTAATTGAATCATTAATAGTTCAAAAATAAGAAAAGGTAAATTTAGGGATTTAAAAAATTTAAACAGCTTAATGAGAATCTTTTTCGAACTTAAATGATGGAACTCTAACAAAGGGGGTTATTTGTTGCAAAGTGAAAGATCATGGGGTTTCTGTTACAAATGAAAGTTTACGGGGGTATGTCACCGACTCCATAGAATGAGGGGGTCTTTGCAACCCTTTGTTTTCTTATGGTTAGAAAATGAAATAAATGCATTAATATTGTAATCCTAATTGTCAAGGCAACGCCGATGCGATAATGCTCCCTTTGAGGCTCGCCTTGCCTAATTGCCAAGCAGTTTTTATTTTCTATTATAACTTTTTTGTCTAATCAACACATTCTCTTCTTCTATACTTTCTACTACTACTACTACTACTATAACAAATATGAAAATTATGAATAATTATCAAGAAAATATGGTTACGATACCTATGGAACTACCTTAGGATCTATGTTTTTTACATAGAAAATCCATTGCCTAGGCAACACCTAGGTGCCTGCCTAGGCAACTAGGTGACAAGGTGCCCCTTATTGCCTATCATCACCTTGGCGCCTTTAAAACTATGATTGTAATTCTTGGGCAAACCAAGAATCTCAAGTGAAAGGATGACATCATCATTTCCCATTAGTTTCTTAATGTTAAAGTTTAATAGAGGGGTTAATTTGTATAATTTCTCTAAAATGTCAAGGGAGGAATTTGGAGAGGTCAAAGCACAGGGGAGGTTAAATAATTGGGCTAATTACAAATTAGTACCCTATACTTTGGGGGTAATAACACTTAAGCATACAAGATTCTCCTTTTTCTTCACTGTTCACTTTCTAACTTCAAAGATTAAACTTAGGACACAAACTAGCAATAGCATCCATAATTCTCTCTCTCTTTCTCTTCCTCCTCCTCCCCCTCTCTTCTTTATGTCCTCCATTCTTCCCTCTACCATTGCAAAAAATCAGAACACAAGATCTACTACAACTAAGCTCACCTAGGGAAGCTTCATGATTCATCACCCATTAACAACACCAAGTTACAGATCGAGATCATGATCATTAAAGATGGATTGAAGATTGACCACACGATGAAAGAAAGATTGGGCGGTGTTTTTTAAGGACAACCATCAGTGTCAAAAGGCTTTACTAGTAGGGCTGCAAATGGATCAGAAAATGGTATATTCGATCCGATCCGATAAGAATCCATCAAAATTTTAAGGGTATGATTCAAATTTGAATTCGGATATTTTATCAGATATCCATTTTCAAACCCAATTCAATTAGAATTGTAATAAAAAAATTTATGATATAGTATAAATAATATATTGTATTATTTATATAATATAATAATAYATTATAATATATAATATATAATATAGTTATAATATACATATATAATATTTAATATTTCATAACTAACGGATCGGATCAGGTCGTGGTGGATCAAATCATGGTATATTCAAATTCAAGCCATTAAATAGATGAATTGATTTTTCCGATCCAATCCAAATTATTAGGTTCAAGGGAGGTATCCGTATCTGGCTCTTATCGAGTTGGATTCGGATTTGAATTATATCGGTTCTGACTTATTTTTAGCCCTGTTTACCAGATGTAAGCCGTTGGAACTTTGCTCTTCCCTCTTAATACTAATGACTCAAGAATAATACGGGGCTTCTATCCTATTAGGCTATTACTTCATCTAGATCGCTTATTGCTTTTACTCACATATAGGGTTTTTGCTCTTTGTTTTTAGTTTTAGTTTAGTTCTTTGTTAACATCATATGATCTTGAACTACTTTTCCAACCGAAGAATTTTTTTTGTCTTTGTTGTGTATGAGTGTATCAAGTAAAATTGCATTTCTGTGTAAGCTGCTACACAGAGTATTATAGTTGATGCACCGCTCAAGCATCCAAATCCGACTATTCAAAGTGATATTAGTTCAATTTGACTATTCCAGACTGAACTAAATCTGGTCTCTAATTTTTTGTTCCAGACTGACCATTCCACACTCAACTATTCAAAGTGTCTATTGGTATTAAATAATCTGATAGTGTATAAATTCCAAGTTTCCCTCTCAGATCTTCGGACATTTTCTTCTTTCTCTTGAACGAGTTCAACAACCACTATGGATGTTGCCATTCTCTCCCTGATGTGTTGATGAGGGCCACCGATGTCATAATCACTGTACCTGTGCTGCTGCGCTCAAGCATACTGGTGCCCGTATAACAATGGTTTACATCAACCCCATCTGTACCTGTGTACTTTGGGGTATTTGTGAAATTAAATGTCCTGAAAATGATTTGATTAGTTTGTTTAATGAAATACAGTATTAGATGCTCGGTTTGGGTTTGTCGCAGAGAGAGGAAAAGGGGAGGAAATCGGGGTGAACTTACTTGCATGGGTGCTTGTTTGGATTTGTTGCAATAGTGGGGGAATAACGGAGAGAAGGATAATGGAAGTAAAAGGAGAGAAAGAGAGAGAGAGAGAGATTATAATGTTAGTTTAACGGAGTTAGACTTGAATGTATCTCCTAAAGTTCAGGGTACTATAATATCACACTTGAAAGTTTAGGCGCTTAAAGTGTCACTAGCGGTCCCTTAATTTAGCATAAATAATTTGTTAGAAAAAACGGGAGTTTAAATCAATTTCCCTAAGAAAATATTCTCCACGGATGCAGTTGTATGTTACTCTTGCTGTTTTAAGTTCCGAGATCATGTAAATCAGTTTCCTGATCTGCAGGTTTCCTAAGAAGTTGGTGGCTATGATGGATCTCTTTAAATTTGGCATTTAAATTTCTGCTTATTATAAAATTCAAATATAATTAACATTCTAATATAATCAATTTCCTTTTTTTGCAGGCAATGCTAAATGTGCATCGAATTCTCATGGAAATACTATTGTTATGCTGGCAAAAATATTTTTCCCATTTCTCTGGTGGATGTTAGGCCACTACTACCAGGAAATTTCACAGGGGGCGTACATATAACTATCAAGAAAGCTTCTGAAAAAAGAGAGAAAAAGAATCTAATGGTAGAGTTCCGCAATTTGATCGCTGTATCGAGCTATGACTCTGTCCCTCCTTATTTTCATGGTTGGGGTCATTAAGCCATTTTCAATCTGCAATTCAAAGAAAAATTTTGCCAAATATCATATCTAGTCAATCAATCAAATGAAGAGCAATGGTAAAATCACTGGAAATATACCGTAAAGGGTTCTTCTACTAACAGAATTGGTCCAATCTGAAATGAGCAGTGTGAGGTCCTGCATGGAGGTCAAACTAGTTACACAGGTTTCGGGCAAAAGCAAAGTCCATTTTTTTTTTTTTTTGTCTAGGATTCAAATATGATACAAGAAAAACATGATACTTTGGAAAACCTTGTAGTGATATTTATCAAAATTCACTGGGGGGTTAATTGGTCAAAGTCCTCCTGAACCGGCAGCATAGATTTTCCCTTTTTCCTATACAACTGGAAGGAGGTGCTATGATGGTAAAATAGGACATAAAAGATTAAAATAAATGCATGACAACAGGTTAAAAGTTGAGAAAGCCATAGAAGGTTTAGAAGCATTGAATAATTTGATACTTGTAGTGTCATCAACTGATTTACCCTGGTTGAGGATCAACTAGTGACACTAACAGACGTGCAGTCAATGACTACAACATCGTACAACCTTTAGTGAGGAAGGGTAAATTACAAATACCCCCTGTACTATGGTGTTTGTGATAAAAACCCTCCTCTGTTATAATCGTGAGACAAAGACCTCCTTCCCTTAGTTTTTCATAGGAATCCGCCGTTGGAAAAAAAATACTGTTCATCTTCTCACACGTACACAAACAGTAGTGGCGGTACCTTAGATTSTTTCACATTTCTCTCTTTCCCTCTCTTTTTTCTTCCCCTTCCTCTTTCTCTCCTCCCCTTCCTTATTCCCGCTTTCCTCTATTTTCCGTTCCTCTTGGCCATAGCCGCCACATGCATCTTGTTTATCAGTTGGCTCAAATGAAATGAGAATTGAAATTCTAATGGTCCAACCAATCAAACCTGGTTTCGAGTAACAAAACTTGAGATTTCAGTAGAGAGTGGAAGTTCTTCTGGGGGCCCTTATCAGTTATCACAATAGAACTAGCACTAGAGAGTGCAAACTGCACAACATATTTTCTTCCATAGGATGCTTTAAAACGCTAAAATGAGAGTGAAAACAAAACAAACAGCGCTCCCGCGCTGCTCCGGGCAACTGGTCTTCAAGATTGCTCGTACTGTCGTCGACGACATTGTCGTCGGAATCCGACGTTGCGACGAGTTCCGGTAAGAAAAGCACGAAAGGGACACCGAAGAAGAGAGAAAGTTCAGACGGTGCAAGTGGCAATGGTGAGGGGCGGAAATGCCTGGATTGTGCCACCGACAAGACACCGCAGTGGCGGACCGGGCCCATGGGTCCGAAGACGCTTTGCAACGCATGCGGTGTCCGATACAAGTCAGGGAGTTTGGTCCCAGCAGAGTACCGGCCGGCAGCGAGTCCGACATTTGTTCTCACGAAACACTCCAATTCGCATCCTTCACGCTAACCCAATTTTCGATGTATCTAGCCGTGAGGATTATTTAATCCATCACCACGCTGGGCCCGATTTCAGGCAGCTAATCTGATTGATCAGTACGGTTTAGCGGATTCACTCGTGCAGAACTCAATTCAGCTCGACAGTTTTAGCAGACATAATTCTCCGGAGAATTTCCGTAATTTTCTGATTTTCTTGTCGTAAGAGATCCGATTTTGGTCCTAACTTTGAAACTTCGTAGGCTTTAAATTCTCTGCCCTGCCGCGGAATTACCAAGCAAAAGAAAATGGGGAAGAAGGAAAAGGTGGATATGGTACTGAAATGTAATGTTTCTGTTCCTTTTCTTTTCTTGTCAATTCTTTTTGCTTTCCATTTCTGTTGCCCGGAGGAGCGCGGGAACTCTTGCTTCTCGCTTTGGCGGGAACTGACATCTCTGGACGAAATATCGAGTTACTCTTGTTGTTCTCTGGTTGGAATTCTCGTGTTTTGGACACATCATCCGTGCGCACTTTCATCCCAGAAATCAGTTGCAGCTTCTGATTCGATTCCTCCACAAAATTCGAGAGCCATTCAAGCTCAGCTAAGTCATCGTACTGTCAAAAACCCCTTGTACAACGCGTTCACTGGAGGATTAAATATCCTGATGATAATGCTCCACTGCTGCCGATTTCGATTGTGACTCTGGCCTTCATCGTTGGTAAGGCAACTTTGAGGCTTGGGAGCAGGCCTTGCAGTCTGTTTTCAACAACTGAATTAGCCGCTGCAACGAGTTGTGGCGGTTATGGCCGATAATAACGAAAACAGAGGAAAGCGGGAAGAAGAAAGGGGAGGAGAGAAAGGGGAAGGAGAAGAAGAGAGATCGGGGAGAAGAGAGAAATGCGAAGGAATCAATTATCTGAATACTTAGGTCGGGGAAGATGACCAGTGTTTTTYTCTCAATTGTCTGAATAGTTATTATAATGAGAATTAAAAAATATTGTAACTGCAGATTTCAATGGAAAGTTAACGGAACGGAACGGGGTCTTTGTTTCTAATTTTTCTAATCTAGAATAAAGGACATAGAAGAGAGGATACAGAAACATAATTCTCTACTCTCCCTATTATCTCCTTTAGAATCTGTCTCTAATTTTTCTAATAAAGTCCAATTTTTATGTTTCTCTTTCCTCTGTCTCTCTCTTTCTCTCTCTCTCCATTAGACTATATGTCCTTTTTCTAACTTTTCTAATGAAGTCCTATTTTTATGTTTCTCTCTCCTCTCCTTACTCTCTCAGTCCTTTAGATTTCTCTCCTCTTGGTTATGTGGCTTCTCTCTCCTTTATCACCTTTCTCTCTCTAACTTTTTTAATGAAATCCAATTTTTGTGTTTCTCTCTCCTCTCTTTACTCTCTCTCCTTTAGCTTCTCTCTCTTCTTGGTTACGTGGATTCTCTCTCTCTCCACTCTCTCCTTTTATTATGTGTCTTCTCTCTCCCTTCTCTTACATATCCCTTCTCCATCTATTTTTTTCTGATGAAGTCCAACTTTTATTCTCTCCTCTCTCTTCTCTCCTTTAGATTCTCTCCATCCTCATTGTGTGGCTTCTCTCTTCTTTGTATCATTTTTCTATCCTACTGGTGTTTTTTGGGTGAATTCCTCTTGGTTTAGTGAGAGGGAATTTCTTTCATAAAGCTGACTCAAATGGATATTCATGATCCAACCTAACCCAACCCTTTTTTCTTGACCCATATTCAACCCACATCTTAAATGGATGGGTCAAGTGGATTAGGTCAGAAATTTCCACCCCTACCTCCAATTTAGATTCTAAATGCTTACTATAGGATTTGGGGTTTGCTGAAGAATTTTTTTGAACAACCTTTCAAATGGTCATGGGAGAACACTACATGGTACCACATTCATTCTATAAGATATCGTTACAGTAGCCAGTGCAAGTTGACAGCTAAGCATCTAGTGTATCCTAGTTATTGGCTGCAGCCTTCATGATTGGACGAATGCCCTTGGGGACTTATTAGGATTTGATAGCAGCACCACTAGAAAAATCTCTTATCAGTCTAGAGACTCTAAACAGTTCCTACTGGAAAGACTAATGGTTAATTTTTATAATTGACAAATTAAACTCACAGCCTTTGCCTATTTGTCATGTGGCCACAGTAATTTGTTTTTTTTTATTGTTTTCCTAATTTTGATGTTAATTGGAAAAAAATTCAGTAAACAATGGATTACAAGTTATAAGTAAATGGGAAGAATACAAATACTAGAGTACCCTATTCGGCAGTTCAAAAGGTTAGACAACTGTTATATAGATGCATTTAAATGAGGATTTATAATTTTGGGAGTCAATGAAGCAGGCATATTTTGGAGAGTTGGACACAAGTTGACTTGTGGATATGTGTTGATTCATGAGTCCCCTCCAAAGGTGGGATGCCCATGCAACTAGGGCTGGCAATATTTGACATGACATGTTAAACATGACATGAAGTTAGTTGGTTTGGGATTATTTAAATCGTGTTCGTGCCAACTTGTTTAACAGGATTAACAAACATGCCAATTTCAAGTTGACCTGCTTAACAAAAATGAAATGTTTAATGACCCGTCAAGAATTGGATCATGGATGTATGTTTTAGTTTTAATTTAGAGATGTTGGTTTAGATTATATTTGGATGAAATACTATTATGGTAGGTAAGGATGACATTGAATGCTTTTTATAATTTTGTTTAGGTAATGGATGATTAAATGTTCACTTTACTATTTAAATATATATTTTTTATTTAATTTAAACAGGTTAATCATGTTGATTTTGTGTTAATTTGGGTTATACGTGTCATTTAGTATAGAATTAATTAAACAAGATATCGTATTAATGCAGGTTATGTGGGTTGTGTCGTGTTTGTATTTGAAACTTTGACATGATTAATTAATAGTGTCTTGTTTGAGAATGTGAGCTTTGCAGCTTGTTGAAAGGTTATTATTCTGTAAGTTTAGTACCGTAGGGGTACTTTGGTACTTTNTTGAAAGGTTATTATTCTGTAAGTTTAGTACCGTAGGGGTACTTTGGTACTTTGCACCTTTTATTTTAAGTTGTGTTGCCCTAGTATAAATAATAAAAAGCTGGCGCCGCCAGCCTCTTTTGAGTGACTCCAAATCTCTCTTTCTGCTCTCTTCTCTCTTCTCTCTTCTCTCTTCCTTTCTTCCTACTTCTCTTCTAGATAACATGGTATCAGAGCGGGACTGTGAGATCTGAAAGAAGAGATTGAGCAAACCTTTTCTGTCTTCTCCCTTTGCCAGCTACAGTGAGATTTATTGAAGATCCAGATCCAGATTCAGATCGGGTTGAAGTACTCTCTCTCCCTTTCTCCTTTTTTTTATTTTTTCTGGTCGTTTGCCAGAACAGAACTGGTAATAGGTTCGGTTTGTTAATGTGAGGTGAGCAGCACCCTCTTCTTTCCTTTTTTGTGGGATCAGCTAATCCCTGTAATAGACTGTTGGTCGGTGATGACCTTTATATGCTGCGACAGCAGCCACACTTGATTTGTAGGTCAAGAGAGGACCTGTACATGCTGCTACAGCAGCCATACCTGATTTATGGTAGGCCAGTGATGACCTGTGATTTATGTGTAACAGCAGCTGATTTTTGTTTGAAGAACTGAGATTWAAAAGAAGGGAAAGGAGGGGAGTGGTTGTCTCTAATTCCCTGGTGCAAAGGTTTTTATTG